ACTCGTCAAGATGGCGGCTGGAATGCACACTGAACCGCAATGTCAGCGCAGGCGTGATGACGGCAGTGACCAGAATGCAATGCTACGCGTTTCGGAGCATGCGCTGGCCTCTAGTGGCGGAAGTGCGCTCCTTTTATCAAGCTCCCCTGCATACGTATTTGTTGCAGCGGCTGAGCTCTGTGCTGCTGCATGATGGAGAGCTTGATGCTCTTATCCTGGGGGAAGGGGGGGGGGGGGGGGGTGTGCATCCAATGAAAGGTGGGTCCCAGATTTTACGACTGATCTCTTACAATGGAATTATTTTATATCTAACTGATTTGTTTCTAGTTTTTCTCTTTCAAGAACCAAGATCAGTGTGCAGACATTCAAGTCAGGCTGATCAATGCATGGCTTATATTATGCATATCGTGCATCTGTAAGAACACTTTTAGGATGCATTTGACAAGGATAACTTGGTGTGTACCCCTTCCTGTGAGTTGTGTTATCCTGCTTAAAAGTTGGCCTTCATTTTGTTTGTAGGCCCTGATCCTTCTCCCTCTGGAGAGTCAGATATATTTGCTGAAAATGTTAATTCACACATCCGCACAGCGCAATGCTATTGGCACTTTTCTGGCAGAGTGTGCACAACTGCACCATGAAGTTACCAATGAGACTGAGATATACACAGCTCAAAAAAATGAAAGGAACACTTTGAAAACACATCAGATCTCAATGGAGAAAAATATCATGCTGGATATCTATACTCATATGGACTAGGTAATGTGTTCGGAACGTAAGGGTGCCCCATCATTTGACGTAAATGAAATGTATCAACCTACAGAGGACTGAATTCAAAGACACCCTGAAAATCACAGTGAAAAAATGATGCAGCAGGCTAATCCATTTTGCTGAAATTTCATTGCATCAACTCAAACAATTGAGTACTGTCCGTGATACTTTTTTTATTTGCACTAACATACAATTTTGAGGACAAGCTTTCGGGGTATGTCCCCTTCTTCAAGGTCCGAGCAGTACTATTACAATGTTTTAGCAGAATGTTAGAAGTTAGAGATGAGAGAAAAAAAAAAAAAAAGCAGAAAGAAACACAAGCCTAGGGTTAAACTAGATACAGCAAAGCAAAAGCAAAGACTGGGGGGGGAGAACAACAATCACAGAGAGAGTCATAAAAATGTCGGATAATGATTGAGGAATCCCATGTCCAAATTAAGGCCGTTATCTCTTGTGTCAAATAGAATTATCATTCTTAGTTCAAAAGTTTCTTTCCTGAATGGATTTGAAATTTCCTTTCAGAACTAAAACATTGAGGTCTCCCGTTGTGTGGTCTGGTTGTGTGAAATGGTGTCCTACAGGTGTGCAGAGGTCATCTTCTTTATGTTCCTTGATGGTATATCTGTGCAAATTCATCCTTGTTTGCAACTTCTGTCCTGTTTCGCCAACATAGGATCCTTTGTTACATTTTCTGCACTGGATAAGGTACACAACATTACTGGAGGTGCAGCTGTATGACCCGGAGATATTGAAGGTCCCTTTTGAGTGTGTGACACTTTTTGATGGATTGATTTGGTTGCACAGTTTGCAGCGTTTTTTTATTGCAGGCTTTGCTTTCATTATTTGTGACCTCATAATCAGAAGGAAGTTTCCTACTGATTAGCTCCTACTGATTAGGCTTGTGTTTCTTTCTGCTTTTTTTTTTTTTTTTTTTTTTTTTTTCTTCTTCTCTCATCTCCAGCTTCTAACATTCTGCTAAAACATTGTAATAGTACTGCTCGGACCTTGAAGAAGGGGACATACCCCGAAAGCTTGTCCTCAAAATTGTATGTTAGTGCAAATAAAAAAAGTATCACGGACAGTACTCAATTGTTTCTGTCGCAAGTGCACTAATACGGCTACAATCACCTCATTGCATCAACTCAAAATGGTACTCAGTAATTTGTATGGCCCCCACTTGCTCGTATGCATGCCTGACGTCAGGACATGCTCCTAATGAGATGACGGATGGTGCCCTGGGGTATTTCCTCCCAGATCTGGACCAGGGCATCACTGAGCTCCTGGACAGTCTGAGGTGCAACCTGGCGGCGTCGGATGGACAGAAACATGATATTCCAGAGGTGTTCTATTGAATTGAGGTCAGGCGAGCATGGAGGCCATTCAATGGTATCAATTCCTTCATCCTCCAGGAACTGCCTGCATACTCTCACCACATGAGGCTGGGCATTGTTGTGCACCAAGAAGAGCACAGGGCCCACTAGAGAATGTCAGGCCCTCAAGCCACCCTCATGAAGTCTGTTTCTGATTGTTTGGTCAGAGACATTCACACCAGTGGCCTGCTGGAGGTCATTTTGTAGGATTTGGGCAGTGCTCATCCTGTTCCTCCTTGCAGAAAGATGCATATAACGGACCTGCTGATGGGTTAAGGGCCTTCTATGACCCTGTCCAGCTCTCCTAGAGTAACTGCCTGTCTCCTGGAATCTCCTCCATGCTCTTGAGACTTTGCTGGGAGACACCGTAAACCTTCTGGCAATAACACGTATTGATGTACCATCCTGGAGGAGTTGGACTGCCTGTGCAACCTCTGTAGGGTCCAGGTATTGCCTCATGCTACCAGTAGTGACACTGACCCTAGGCAAATGCAAAACTAGTGAAAAACAGAAGAGTCTGGAAAAAAATGTCAGTAGCCTCCACCTGTAAAACCATTCCTGCTTTGGAGGTCATCTCATTGTTGCCCATCTAGTGCACCTGTTGTTAATTTCATTAAACAGTCACCAAAGAGCCATTGTTTCCTGCGCTCAAAGACTCAGATCAAACGGGCATTAGTAACAAACAGCGTGTTCATCCGCTGCTGATCAGAGGTTGTGCAGCTCTATCATGAAGCTGGGAAAGCTTGATAAAACTGTAGAAGAGGATGAAAGAGCGCACAAACCTTGCGCATTACCTCAATAAATTGTGATTAATTTTATTTAATTTAGGAAATATACTCACAAAGGTGACGGTAAAACAAGCATAAGTAAACCATATTCACATAGGGTTACAGGTAAATCCAAAGGGGGGGATAAAAACTAACGCATTTCGAAGGGTGCTCCCTTCTTCATCAGAGCTGGGTTGAGCAGATAGAAACTTCAGTATGGCAGAGTTCCCATAGCAAGGAGACATTCAGCTACTGAGTGTCAGTATTACAGCAGTTCAGCCAGTTTAGTGACACTAAAGAGGCTGAACTGCTGTAATACTGACTCTCTCCGATTCTTTCCGATTTTTTTTGTGCTGAAAGCGGTACCATTTTTTTGCATGGAAATATGTAGTTTTTTATTGTAGGCTGTAATTTTTAGGAATAACTCACTGAAATCTGTCCGATCAAGAGTCTATTAAACATTCCGGATATGATAAAATTTGAAACACGAAATCATAAATTATAATTTAATAAATAATCATAAAAAATAATAATTTAATTCAATAATATAATCAAACCAAAAACACTGAAATTTGAAATACAGAGGCAAATTCGCACATCGCTGAGCAAAGTCGCAAAATCATTTTCAGTGTCTGATGACGAATTTCCCCACAAATCATTATCACTCAATTCTGCAAGTGGTTCTGATTTACTATCGCTGCTCTAAAACCGCTTTTGACGTAAAGGGACGCTTTTTGGACGCCATGGACTTTTCTTCTCACCCCCCCCCCCCCCCCCCCCCCCCCCCCACCCCCCCCCCCCCCCCCCCCCCCCCCCCCCCCCCCCCCCCCCCCCCCCCCGTTTCCAGGCAGAAAGAACATTCAAAATGCAGGCAGGGCACAGGACAAAGCACTCGGGGCAAAATATATGTGAAATGCATTGAAACAGCAATGACCGCAAAAATTAAATTTTTTAAAAATTTCAAATTTCGTTCCGGCGCCCGTACATCCCGACGTCACAGGGACCGGAACACAGAAGCCGGATGCCGGCATCGGCTGGAGGATATAGCCGGGGACGCTGCAGGGGACACATCGTGGGAGTGAAGGACAAGGTAAGTGCTGCAGGGACCCCCAGAACAGCGCCGCATGGTAAGCCCGAGTGTAGCTCGGGGTTACCGCTTTTGGTATAGAAATTTTACCCCGAGCTACACTCGGGATTACCGCTAAGGAGGTTAACTGACCAGATCAAAATCCCAGGAGTTTAATTGACTTGATGCTATGCTCTTATTAAAAAGTGTTCCTTTTTAAATGTTTTTTTTTTTTTTTTTTTTTGAACAGTGTATAAAGGAGCTTCTCAAATCAGAGCCAGTAAATGATCCAGCAGGAACATAGTGATCTGGATTTGTTATCTATAATTCAGGGTGTATATAAAGTAACTTTAAATAGGTCACCCCTTTGCTGGGATGAATAGGCTGCCTTTTCTAATGGGCCGGTAATGAAGGATAAGATTTAGTGGACCAATTGCCTATTTAAAACATAAAAATTGCTGCGCTGCCTCTTCCAAAAACTACTTTAAATAATTAATAAATGAATGAACTCCCTACACAACTCTTTGTGTAGTAGGGAGTTCATTCATTCATTTATTTATTAATTATTTAAATTAGTTTTGGGAGAGGCAGCGCAGTAATTTTTATGTTTGCACTCACACATTCTTTCATCGGTACACATTTGTGATTTTGCTAGCAGCAGCCAGTCTAATTGATTAATCCTCTGCGCAGGTTATACTCACACAATGGCCTTTCTGCATAACATTGCTTCATGGGTTTTGCTTTTTTTTTTTTTTTTTTTTTTTTTTTTTGTCTCTTTTAGTTTTATGTTTTTTGCTTTTTTAGTAATATGTCAGATGGATGGGCATCAAAACCTTAGTAAACTGCAATTAAATTCATCAGGGATGTCTGCATGATATTTTCTTATATTGCTCTTTCTGTGCTCTTTTTAAGGCAATTTTATCATAAATTTGTATTAAAATGAAGATTATTGGCTAAATAATTCATGTTTTATTTCGGCTGTGTACATCATTGCCTGGCTATATAAAAGATTGTTTTGATGTTTTTCAGGTGGATTGGGATAGTGGTGCTCTATTCTGTCCATAAAGGGAACTTTGACTGTGTCGGGGGACCTGTACTGCGCAGTTACTTGATTGTACTTATTGTAATGTTAGCCGCGATAATCTGCTCAGTTTCATCGATAGTCTATATCAGCATGCAAGGTAAGCAGTTTTTTTTTCTAACTTAACATGTTTCTACTTTCAAGTTTCTACTCTTGTGATTTTGGGCCTTATGTTCTGGTGTTTTCACAGTGTAGAACTTTTGGCACTGCTGGGTCAATGAGTAGCTGCAGGTGACATTATTTATGGGTTAAAGCAAACAAGTATTCATATGAAGCAAGAAATGTGGCCGGCAACTCCAGCATCCATATAGAGTTCTTTATTGAAAGCACAGGAGTAGGTAAAATGCTAACATGTTTCGGCAAAAAGCCTTGTTCACAGCAAAATACAGACTGAAGACAAAGACTATAAATGTAGAAAACTTCACCCACTAGTGGGCTGTATTACTAGACAATTAAAAACAGCAGGTGTATGCTATTGACCACTTCACGTCCGGACACTTTTACCCCCTTCCTGTCCAGGCTAATTTTCAGCTTTCAGCGCTGTCACACTTTGAATGACAATTGTGTGGTCATGCAACACTGTTCCCATATGAATTTCTTAGCATTTTTATGAGACGGATGAAACTTTATTTTGGTGGTATTTATTCACCACTGGGATTTTTATTTTTTTTGCTATATAAATGTAAAAGTCCAAAAATTTAGAAAAAAAGTGTTTTTGCAAATAAATAATCTTTCTTCAGAAATCTTGGCCAAAATGTATTCCGCTAACTTTTTAGTAAAAAAAATAACCCAAATTAATTTATAACCAAAAATTGATAATTTTTAAAAAACCTTTTTTACATTTTAATTTAATTTTTTATATTTTTTTTTTAACTTGCTGTAACCCTAGCAGTACAGTGTCACCATAGTGACACTGTACTACTTGTGGGGGGTGATGAAGATTTTTTTTTTTTTTTTTACACTGATTGCTTTTACACCCCCATAAAGGCTGTAAAAGCAATCATTTCTCTTTCTCTCTGGCTGCATTCTTGCAGCCATTGAGAAATACTGTGAAAACCGTGATTGGTTACAGCTTGTCACATTGTACAAGGTTGTGATTTCACACTTAGTAAGCAATGATGTCAGAAGTGACATCTTGCTTATTACTATTCATGTGATCACTGATTGGCCAATCAGTGATCATATGATCGGGACCTCACACAGAGGTCCTGTACAGCGATCGGTGCCACGCGCTCCCAGGAAGAGAGCACAGGCTGCACTGCTCCCGTCCGGCCATTTCTATACATGGGCCGGACGGGAAGTGGTTAAGGGAGTGGTGCTGGTATACGGCTAGAGTAATAATGAAATAAACAAATTTAATATCCAAAAAAATATATACCAGTTGGAAAATCTTCTGTGTAAAAAAGTAGAGATGAGTATATAACCCAGGCAAAAAAGATACCTAAGAAAAGGTCACAAAAGAAAAACAATATGTATAGGATCTATAGAAAAAAGTTATTTTTATATATATATATATTTTACACACTGGTAGTATAAAAATTTGAAGGATGTATATGATGTTTTCCTTATTTCCTTACTTCCTTACTTTAGAAAAAGGTCCACATCCCACCTGCAGTTAAGCCCAGCAGGAGTTCTCTTCCCTAGGGAGAATTCCACCAAACCTCTCTTTCAAGGTGTTTGCAGTGGGTATCTCTACATTGGGGAGAAGCCTTAGCTCTTTCCAACCCACTGCATATAAACGTATTCATATTGTCTGCGTGCACATGTTTGAAATGTTTAGACACATTGGATAGATTTTTCTCATTAGTATATGCAGCTCCATTATAGTGTTTAGCAATTCTAGCTCGAAGTGGTCTAGATGTACAAGTAGCCACACTCTGACATCACAGGCCAACACATCCTTATTTAGACAAGAAAAGCATGAATGTGCTACCTTCCCTGCCTATGGATCACCATGACTGATGTGTTTTACCCCTTATGGGTTAGTAGTAGAGATCTCTACATCTAGGCTTGTAAGGGTGAGATGCTTTAAAAGTGGGTAGTCTGTAGGTGGAGAAGGTAGCACGTTTGAGCTTTGTTTGTCTGTATAGTTTTTGTTTTTTTTTTTTTCAAATTTGCCAATGACATCATTGGTGTGTGGCTACTTGTTTTCTTTGAGCGGAGATTCATGGAGCATGGATGCTATCCACCAACACCTGTACTCCAGGGCTTCAGGCTATACCTGTACAGCACCTGTACCAAAAGGAACACTGGAGTTTGGAGCAGTGACATTTGTCTATTCTCTTACACCACTTCCAGTGGGTTATGGAAGATGGGCCCAACCCTTTGAGGAATTCTAAAGTAGATTTTTGTTAAACTCTGCTGAACTCAGAGAGGCCCTGGGCCATTTTCCATAGGGGCTGAGATCATTTTCAAGACGAGGGGAATTAGTCAGCCCTGTTTAAATAATATCTCCAAATTTACGATAAGCTGTGCATTCAAATCTGTTCTAAGTTGGTAGTGGTGACAATATACAAACACAATTGATTGACTGAGCTTTGGAAACTTTAGCACTGATAACTAGGATATAACAATCTTTATTTACTGTATCGATTGCCATTGAGAGATGAAAACGAAAAATCACCTAGCCTGAAAATTGTTTCAATGGGTTTTTTTTTTTTGCAAAAAAAAACATGCACATAAAATAAGGCACAATAAAGTTATGTTATGTGAGTTAAAGTGCTACTAAAGTCTAAAATTTTTTTTTTTTTTTTTTCAATAAAAATAACAAACATGCTATACTCACCTGCTCTGTGCAATGGTATTGCATAGACCAGCCCTGATCCTCTTCTTCTCGGGTCCCCCGCCGGTGATCTCAGCTCCTCCTCTTCTTTGTGTGCACGCTTCCGACCTGTGTGTCTACGGAGCCACGCTCCATAGACATACACAACGGGACTTGGCCACACCCACCCACTTCCTCTTCACTTCATTTGATTGACAGCAGCAAGAGCCAATGGCTCCTGCTGCTGTTCGAATCCCTGTGTGAAGAGGAAGCAAGGGGAGAAGAGATGCAGCTGTGCACAGTGCTGTTCTCTTCTCCTTCACACAGGGAGACTAAAAACGTTTTTTTTTCTTAATGCAAGCTGTGCGTTTAAGGTAAAAAGCTTTTTTAGGTTTAGTATCACTTTAAGTGTCAATATGAAACATACAACATAAGAAAATCACAGTTGCACCACAAGATGCACTGGTAGGAGAAATAATTTGGCATTACAAAATGGGTATTACATGATCTATGACCAAAAGAGAACCAGTGGAGTATTCCCACCGATAAGTGTTGCTCTTTACAACCAATAACGGGCAATACATTATGTAAAATGGGAAAAGGAGAAATCCATTGACTCCTATAAAGTCACCAAAATTGAAGGAAGACTATAGAGAGGGTAGACCTAATGTGAAAGAAGCATGAGAAGCTTGCCTGGGAGTAGAGAGCGAAGGGAGGGGGAGGGAAGGGCTAGGGAAATTCCCTCATGTTCCAGTCTGATTGCAGCATCTACAAACTGGAGAGCAGTCACACTGAGAGCAGGCTGTGGTCTATGTCCACCTGTGCATTGTACATACTCCAAGGATCCCAAATTTATAAGAACTTGGCATGGGTATCATCTAAGATGGAGGTGATGCACCATAGTTCCCATTTGCCTTTGCCTTCAGTGAAATTATTAAATGGTTGTCCCCAAGCTCTGGCCAGGGTCTGATAAATATAGAAGTGAAATATATGTGCTCAGCTGAATCTCTGCATATATTAGCTGCTGATGCTATGCCTAGATACTTGGCACAACAGATATAGGTCTAAAACAAGTCCAGCGCTCACAAACCCTAAACTAAAATAGTAAATGGTAAGGGAAAAATAATCCTATGAATCGCCGAGATCTTAACCCTTTTGTTTCCCTTCCAAGTACTAACCATGGCCAACCCAACCTCAGACGAGATAGGACGCATTCAGGGTAGTATGGTTATAGGTCTTACCCCCAATTACTATTGTTAACCACAACATGTGTAATCAAAATGTTTTGCACATTGATATTGTGGTGATATACAAAAACGTAAATCAACAAAGTGCTTAAATCCAGGAATACCCAAAGAGGCATATACACTGGAATTTACACTAGGACAGAAAAAAAAAAACAGTTCCACAAGCTGTGATGAGAAAATAGGATGAGTTCCTCAGGCCGTCATCATCATACACTTGTAAGGTCTCCCAGGTGTCAATGGTCACACACAAGGCTTACCAAATAATGCAACTTTCCATATAATAGTGGTCACACACGCGTAGTGAAAATTCACCAAGGAATGAGCGCTCTTTCCAGCCTCCCCTCATCCGCAGAGACACCAGGAATTTTTCTGTCAGTTGTCACCATATACATCCACAAATTGCAGGGAACTGCTGCACCACTGGGAATTCGCTCAGCAGGACCCATGCACATAAAATAGGCACTCCACATATCTTAAAACCACCCATAATAAGGAATTTATTAAGTCTAAACACTTACAAATGTCCAGAAGTAACACAGCATATCACATGGTAGAGCAGCATGGAGTTCCAGTATCAAAGATGCTGTTGTTCCTTTGCACATGCTTCGTAGCGTGTATCCAGGTTTGCTCTTCCGATTTTGTTACAAATTGCATCTTCAGGGGCACGGCCAGGGTCTGCCGGGCAGCCAAAAACACAAACCCCACCAGCTTTCTCTGAATCTTGGTTAGGGATCAAATGCAGTTCATGGAGTAGGGCCTCCCAGGGCTTATGGGGCTAAGAGACAGACCTGATCATGGTGTAGACCCATGTCCAAAACCAGGTCTCCTGGGACAGGACTACCGGATATGAAATAAGCTGCCACATTCCCTGCAACCACGCAAGCACATGGGGGATACAGAGAGGTTGCATTTAGATATGCTTTGGGGGTCATGTACCATTGTGAGAGTTTTAAAAGCGTTTTCTTGGGCAAAGATGTTCTGGGAACAGTTAGAGGAGACCAGCCAAGGTCTGAGATTAGTCCCTTGAGGTAGGGGTCTTTCTGGCAGTGGTTTTCAAATGGGTTTAAATATTTGGTTGGGCCACATTTGTGT